CTTTTTTCTTTTTTTTTTGTAACTTCTATTTCTAATACGTTGATTTCGGCTTCTTTGTTGCCATGACAATATATGGAGAGAGAGAGAGAAACGAATGAGGTGATATAAATCTTAATCTCGTAGATATGAAAAACATATCATATCCTAAACCTATTTTGATTAATGTTTGAAGGGGTCGTATATATGTAAATATCTATGGAAGGGGGTTTATGTATGTAAATTTCCCATCAAATTCTAGGCCCAACAAGAAATTGGATGATATCGGTAGCACGAGAGAGTAGTACACAAGGTCAAAATTAAAAGCATACAGAAAAACAGGACCTCAGAGGAAAATATCAGTACATCGACATAAATGATAAAGGATCTAATCGAATATCCAACTTCTTAGCCACAAATAAATAGTACAACAAAATTCAAAGCAACCAACGCGACCATGCCATTCCCAAGAGAGGGCAAAGAAATCGGATGAAATATATTGATAGTGTAGGAGAATAGGAAAAAAAGATGAAAGTCGAGAGGAAAAAAATGATTCATTAGTAGTGAAATATTAGTAAATAGACAAGAAAGATCTGATGAAATGCCAAGTTGATGGATGGCAACTTTCCATCAGAAGAATTAAGTGAAACTTTGACAGTTGAGATGATCCAAAAGTTCAGTAGAAATAAAACGTATGAAACTACATGATGTAATTTATAATCAAAACAATAACCGCAGCGTGAAAGAGTCCTGCAATTGTCAAAAAACTAACTGCACAACATGGTTTGGCCGGTAATAATTAACGCAGCAAACATACACCACGCTAATAAACACTATGTCTCGCTCAGATAATGCACTTAAACATCCAATTTTCACAGATTAAATAAATGTACGGCAAATAATTGTAAAACAGAGAGAAATTACAAACAACATAAGCAATTAACAAATAAAAGCATGTCATTGACGATAAACTATCGGTACATTGAAAAATCAAAACCTAATCGAATAAGTTAGAACAAACCCCTTGGCCACAAACAGGCAGCACAGGCAAATTCAACACCTAAACCAAGTTGTTTGTTAACCAATGTAGGGC